GTGAGAACGGAGAGACCCTCAGATCTCCGGCAGATCACTAACAGACATGTGTAGGCCCCTCCGCAGGGGGAAGTGTGTGTGTGTGAAGGCTGATCTGATGCACCACCGTGGATGGTGATGTTCTGACTAGGGGACACAGGATGAAAGCCTTCTCTGATGAAGGTCTATGGTGCTGCAGAAGACAAACTAGGTGTTCAGAATTTCTATCATGCAGGCCTGGTTTAGGGAACTGTCACAGCACCATTTTAGTGAGGTTAAAATGACAAATCATTAAATACATAATCTTTTGCAATGCTTAATTTGTTGAATAATCAAATGCAATTGTTGTTCTATTCAATGACCCAAAGGTGGTTGTTTTAGACCCCATGCTGAGCGATGCAAGGACCTAACCCTGTGTGGTAATTAGGGGGGCATGCCTGCCTGCTGCCTGTATACCAGCCAGCCTGGAACTGCCTGCTTGGTTAATTGATTGATTATCCAACAATGCGCTTGCAGCTCTTTGCCCTGCTCTCATTGCTCATCCAATCAGTCAAGAGCCTGTTCCAGAGGACAGCAGCACTATATTAAAGCATCATTAGTACTGTGGTCCAATCCTGGGCCTGTGGCTCAGTGCACTGCTGTAGCACTAGTCCCATGTCCCACAGGTTTGAGTGGATGGGGATGGTGTATCTCGGTTATCTTTCATCAGCCTGTGGATGTTGCCAATGTATAATTTGAGTTGTCCCAGGTCCAGTGGTTAGCAGCAGTGGAGACCAGTCCAGACCAGTGCCAGTGTTAGTCAGCATGCAGCTGCCCCGCTGTGCCGTGTGCCAGACTGTCTGTGGCTGATGTCTATGGGCAGCTGTATGGAGAGTCATGTGTGTGTCCTGAATACCTTGTCACTCATAAAGAGACCCTGTAAATCACATTCCTCTCCCCTGGGGACAGAAGAATGCAGGACCTGCTGTAAAATGCATGCCTCAAAAGCCCTTTTAATTCACAACAGACATGTCTGCTTTACTGCAGGGTTTAGAGGGACATGCTTTCCTTTGAGGCAATGAGGGGACGAGAAAGGGTTGAAAATGACCTCCGCTAATAATATCACATGTAAGCTGTGGATTTACTTCACCGTTGGTTATTGTTTCTGTGACAGAACATAACTGGTACTTGTGGACAGTGTTAGGGTTAGGGGGGTTGTGGTTGAGGCTTAGGGTTGAACCAGGATGTGGACATGAAGCTAGGGTTAGGGTAAGGGTTATGGTTGTGATTGTGATTGAGGCAAGGGTAAGGGTTGAACCAGGATGTGGACATGAATTGAATTGAACTTATTTGGGTAAGAGACATACAATATGTACAATGTGGTCCCAGAGTATAGCACTTCAAAGTATTTAAACACTTGTTTCCAAAGTGGTCCTCATGAAGCTAGGGTTAGGGTTAGGGTTGTGATTTTGATTGAGGCAAGGTTTAGGATGGAACCAGGATGTGGACATGAGCTAGGGTTAGGGTTGAACCAGGATGTGGACATGTAGCTAGGGTTAGGGTTGAACCAGGATGTGGACATGAAGCTAGGGTTAGGGTTGAACCAGGATGTGGACATGAAGCTAGGGTTAGCATTGAACCAGGATGTGGACATGAAGCTAGCGTTAGGGTTGAACCAGGATGTGGACATGAAGCTAGGGTTAGGGTTGAACCAGGATGTGGACATGAAGCTAGCGTTAGGGTTGCTAGGATTGAGGTTAAGGCTGGTGCCTCCTGTAATAAACCTTGGTTATTTTAAAACATGTCCAGAATGCTAAGAACCAACGTTTTTTCCCCTCAATGTCTGCCTAATACAGCTGATGTTTTTGTAGTCTGTACATACTGCGAAAGTCAGTGCATCTCCCTATTCTCAACCTATTAGCTCTACCAATAAATTGAGGTGTTGCTAATTTATGACTTGCTTCTCGCTAACCCCCTGTCTGATACGATTTCATATCCTCAGGCTATTTTCTCTCCTTCATTTTTCTGAGAGAATAAGGAATTCCAGTGGCAAAAGCTGTCAGAATAAAATCATTTGTTCCTCAGCGCTAACACTCTGCTTGACGCTTTGTCCTTCCCTGGACCTCTCTCTCTCACTCTCTCTTTCTCTCTCTCCCTCCAACTGGTGTGTGTTTTATGTGGTTTCAACAGCAATTTCCTTTGGGGCGATCTGTAACTGCTCATGTTAGACTACACACAGGCTAACTTTAGCAATTGCTCTGTATGCACCTTGCGGTTTTACAAGTGTGTCCTTTCTCACCTGTTTCTGGAGTGAAACTAGCATTGTGTCCAGGCCAACATTATGAGCAGGGGTAAGACAAACCTATTCAAAGCCTCCATAATTACCTTGAAAGATAGCCGGTGTCTTTTAAATGTCTGACATGACGGGATACGATGTGGAGGAAAAATGCTTTGTTGGCAGCAAGGAGAGGGAGAAATTGTGTGGCTTCAAAGATGAAAGTTTTTCTCCTGAATTATTTAAGCAATCAACACTCATATACTTCTAAGATGGAAGGAGAGGTTTACAAAGAACAGTTCAGCTCTCTGATGTGGTGGCTACTGTCTATTATGTATACTGTCTCTATGTTCAGTTTTGAACCAAGGAGTGGGAAATACAACAACGGACCATTTATATTGTGGGGGGATTTCTGAAAATGGGAGTTTTATTTTCTAGTAAAGTGTAATATGAATTTACAGGCCAATTGGATTCTATCTGCCTGGTACTGTATATTGGAGACCTAAAACAATGCATCCTACACTACCGGTCAAAAGTTTTAGAACACCTACTCATTGAACGGTTTTTCTTTATTTTTACTATTTTCTACATTGTAGAATAATAGTGAAGACATCCAAACTATGAAATAACACATATGGAATCATGTAGTAACCAAAAAAGTGTTAAATAAATCAAAACACATTTTATATTTGAGCTTCTTCAAAGTAGCCACCCTTTGCCTTGATGTCAGCTTTGCATTCTCTCAACCAGCTTCATGAGGTAGTCACTTGGAATGCATTTCAATTAACAGGTGTGCCTTCTTAAAAGTTAATTTGTGCAATTTAATGCATTTGAGCCAATCAGTTGTGTTGTGACAAGGTAGGGTTTGTATACAGAAGATAGCCCTATTTGGTAAAAGACCAAGTCCATATTTATTTAGAATTCAAGGCACACTTAACCAGCATGGCTACCACAGCATTCTGCAGCGATACGCCATCCCATCTGGTTTGGGCTTAGTGGGACTATCATTTGTTTTTCAACAGGACAATGACCCAACACACCTCCAGGCGGTGTAAGGGCTATTTTACCAAGAAGGAGAGTGATGTAGTGCTGCATCAGATGACCTGGCCTCCACAATCCCCCGACCTCAACCAAATTGAGATGGTTTGGGATGAGTCGGACCACAGAGTGAAGGAAAAGCAGCCAACAAGTGCTCAGCATATGTGGGAACTCCTTCAAGACTGTTGGGAAAGCATTCCAGGTGAAGCTGGTTGAGATAATGCCAAGAGTGTGCAAAGCTGTCATCAAGGCAAAGGGTGGCTATTTGAAGAATTTCAAATATAAGATATATTTTGATTTGTTTAACACTTTTTGGTTACTACATGATTCCATATGTGTTATTTCATAGTTTTGATGTCTTGCCTACTATTCTATAATGTAGAAAATAGTAAAAAATAAAGAAAAACCCTTGAATGAGTAGGTGTTCTAAAACCTTTGACCAGTAGTGTAATTTCAAACATATCATATTCCATGAGAAATAACACCCATGGTTTGAAATAACTCACCAGACAGCAATTCAGTAAAAGAAAAACAATACTGTATTTTATAAAAATTTACAAAAGATATATACATATTCAGCACAACAGAGTTGCATGGTAGTGTAGAAAAAGCTTTGATTCCTAATACACTATGATATCTTAGTATCCTTGTCATCAGCAAGGGCTGCACTGGAGAAAATGTCATTTTTCATTGAAAATTAGGATTATTTTTCCCTTTTAGATTTTTCCTAATTCATCAACGAGAGTTAATGGCAATGTAATCTCCCCCAGAATATGTATCATATGAAGTATTTGCATATTCTTTTGAAATGTTTACTTAATTCCAGTCACAACTTGTCCCGACACTGAGACGTCACTGTTAATCTCAATAGTCCAACTCAACGGACAAATAAGACAATGGCGCATATCGAAGAAACAGTATGGAAGTAGACCTGACATGACTAAATAGATTAGAAAAAGATTTCTTCTGACTATTGAATTATTTAATAATTTTTGTCCCATATTTATTTTTTTGCAATTTCACTGACAGAAAAAACAAAATCTGCACGGATGAATGACTTTCGAATAAGATGTGAAAGAAAGAATCAAATCATTTTAGATCAAGTAATTTACACAATTTACATATATGTGTGTCTTCAAATAACGACATGATAGAAAAATCCCAAATCGGTATCATACAGAATGACCTGGTTGCATTTCAACGTGAACTGTGTCATATGCTTGTCTTGCATATTCTGCGGCATAGCCAGGCACTTGGTAAACTTGTTTTACTGCAGAACTGTACACTATATCTCATGTACAACATTAACAGAATTGTGCTGTGGATTACATTATACTTACTTAATCATCTAAGGCAAAATATGGCTTCTCAATAGATATGAAATTGCCATATTAGCTCCATAATAATACTGTACAGGATAATACAATAAGTAACACAAACATAGAGGTGTTTTAACATGAAGTCTTCAGAATCTCATACGTTCCTTAGTCTCTGGTGGTCGTCAAAGTTCTCCAATGAGGTGCTTAGTGTTCAATCACATGGTCAGGAGGAGTTCAACACCTCTGCAACAATGTTAACTAGTATGTTCCCCTCTTATCATTCACACAGTCAGTTTAAAGAGCTTGGGTTACAATAGGTCATTTCTTTTAACACACGTCCTGGGCCAAATACACCAAGGTAGGTACCCTGGTTTTACTTGTGTCTGCCTTCAGTGTATTTGGGATCATCCTTATGACATCATGTTGAGGAACTTGTTCTCTTCTGCCAGCGCGGTGAGCAGGGAGCTCATATCACTGATGGCCATGTTGCTGCCCCCTGCAGGGAGGGGCAGGGAAGGCAGGGTGACAGAGTTCCGGGGGGTGGTGAGTCTGGAGGAGGTCTGGGACAGACTCTGGAGGATACTGGGGCTGATGGTACCTGACATTAGGCTGGAGTGGTCCCCGTCATCCAGCATGGTGTCAAAGTCAATCTGGGGCTCCTCTGCCCCTGTCCCATTGGAAGAGTCCACCGTACTGGAGACCTGGTTGTTTACTCCCGGCGAGGTCATGGTGGTCTCAGTGCTGTCTAAGGGACATTGAGGAACATTCACTACTGATGATGTCATCATCTGCATGTTGACGTTCCCGTTTGGCTCAAACACGTGTATCTGTCCCGTGTAGAACATACCATTGTTGTCTGTGTTGTTGCCATTGCTGCAGTGATTGCCAATTGAGTTTTGTCGCTGCATTGTCATTGACCCTGAATGCTGTCTGCTTAGAGACTTAGGTTCTGTGGGCGGTCTTGGCTGGAGGAGTATTTGACCTCCATTTTGGATGGGATGCTGAACCTGGGATGCTATATTATAGTTCTGTTGATGTGAGATCATCCGCAAAGAATTCACACCGCTATCCTTAAATGTGACTTGAGACGATTGACTCCCCCCTGGCTGCGTCCTCAGCCGGCTGTTCTGCATGTCTACAGAGAGTTTACTGTTTTGGCTCAACATACCCAGAGTGCCACCAACTGCCATACTACTACAGGAGGACCGCTGGTTAGCGTTAGCGTTAGCATCGCTAGGACCCTGGTTAAACCCATACTCGAGGCTCACTGGTTCATTGAGGTTAGCATTAGCGGGCTGCTGTTGCTGTAGGCTCTGTTGCTGGACACAACTCAGCCTCGAGTCAGCCTTCTGCTGTTGTATGTATCTCCCCTGCTGGGCTGCGTGAGCCAGGTTGTGGTTCATCTGTGCAATGTGCTGGTTGGAGTTAAGATTCTGATTCCGGAACGAGACAAAGTTCTGTTTCTGTTGGACCATGGCGAGGTTTGGTTTGCTTCGACAGAATGGCGGCTGTTGGGTTGGGTTGTGAGGAGCTTCCACAGTCCCTGAGCTGACCTCGTTCCACTGTACCGGCATGGTGCTCGTCTTACTGGGTGAGGAGGGGAAAGACTGCTGCCGATGGCCTGGGCTTAGAGCACAGGAGATGGGCATGGTTTGTGGTGCAGACGAGGGGTTCATATTCATATTGGTGTCCACCACAGCCATCCTTCGCTGGTAAAACTGCTGTTGCTGCTGGGGGTTAGGGTTTATTGTGTTTCCATGGAAACCACCTTGTGCTTGTCGGTTGTACCCGGTGGCACAGTCTGACTCTTCAGCTCCGCCCTGAGAGGTGATGTAGTGAACGACGTCATCAGGAAGTACCATCATCTCCTCCTCACTGTTGTTGCGACTACCGCTCATGTCGCCGGCCATGGTCTCCATGGCCACGTTCTCAGAGATGCTGGGCGGCCGGGGGCAGTAGGGGTATCGCTGCAGGCTGCCGTCGGAGCGCGGCTGGTGGCTTTGGAGGGCCAGGTGACGCCGCTCGGCTGCAGATAGGGCCTGGTTCGGCTGGGAGGCGTGTGGGTGGAGGTTCTGCATGTTGCCCATGCTGTTGTAGCGCTGCACCTGAGGCTGGTGGGACAGCGGAGACAGCGCGTCCAGGGACGGCCGTCGGGGGACGGGGTCGCTAGCCCGACGGGGAATGTTGGACGGAGCTTCGTGGGGCATCATGCTGCGGCCGTTATAGCCTCCCATATCGCCGCTGCAGTGCCTGGGAACACCACTTGGGGCAATGGTGTTGAAGGAGGAGTAACCAGACGACGAGTCTCGCTGGGAAGCGTCCCCGTAGAGGGCCATGCAGGTCTTGAGACTCATCCTCTCCATGTTGGGTAGAGGCGTGGGTGGGGCTCCACCTGTAGCCGCCGCATATTTAGCCTTGAGGTGGTAGTGCTGGGCGGGGGTGAGGCTGAGGAGACTGGGCAGCCCTCCCCCTCCCCCTCCTCCACCACCTCCACATTGGCTGGCGTCGCTGGACCTCCGGGACAGGTCTGTAGAGATGGGGTCGTAGGAGCCGGTGGAGCTGATGTTGTTGTGGCGGTGGCCACTGAACGTGGAGGCATCGCTGGAGCGGCGGCTGGAGTAACAGGGGGAGATGCCAGAGGAGCGCCGGCTGATGTAGGCAGAGGAGACGGTGCTGGTGGTGCTGTCCCTGCGTTCCATCAGATGGTCCAGCTGGTTCAGGACAGTCATCTTACTGGAACACAGCTCACTGAGACTGAGGCCGGGGAACGATCCAGGCCCACCACCCATATTTCCACTCTCCAGAAGGGACCCTGAAGAGAATAATAATTTATTTTACACAGGAGAAATATAGTCTGAATAGTTTTCTGAATGTACTGAATTTTTTATTGACAAAACATATTTTATCTTATATCTATCTTACTTTATCTACCATCTAATACTCAAAAAGGATCATTATGAAAACACTGGTTACTTCTTTGTTTTTATGTTCACTCACCGCTTCCTGGTATGGGCGGTAGCTTGGTGTTCTGGACTGGAGGAGCTGGATGATGATTGGCCCACTGGCAGGAGTCCCTCACCGTCTTCAGTTTCTCCTTCTTCAGGTGTTCTAGTCTGTGGATGTGGCTGGGGCCTAGGTGTTGATGTAGGTGGAGGCCCACCCCGACCCCTGCTGTGCCAGACGAGAGGCCAGAGGAGGAGGAGTCAATGAGGGGCCCCGAGGGGTCGTCCAGCCCAGTCAGGTCCCCCATGCTGCCCCCGCCGCTGTGGAGGGCCATCTCTACTCCACTGTCATGGTTGGTGGAACTGCCAAGTGGCGACGGCTCGCTGCTACATGACGACTGACCACCAGGGCTGGACTGATACATCTAGAGAGAGAGAGAGAGAGAGAGAGAGAGAGAGAGAGAGAGGAAGAGAGAGAGGCAGAGAGAGAGAGAGAGCGAGAGCGATAGAGCGAGAGAGAGAGAGAGGAAGAGAGAGAGGCAGAGAGAGACAACATGTTTATCAACTATCTAAAAAGGAAAGGGATCACCATCTAACGAAGGCAAAGTAGAACAGTGATAACATAACAACATAAGGAGATGACAACAGTGAATCATGCAACTTCTTTTATCCACAACTTTAATTGTAAATAATGAGTGTTGGTTGGGGTGGCTACAGATTATAGCTCTCTTTGACTGTCTGTGAATTAGAAATGGGAGAGATGAAAGGATGCTTGAGTACATGCTAGGCCAGCACACGGGGCTATGCATCTGTGGCTCTCTGGGTTGTTGGGCTCCCCAGTCCCTCTTGACGGTGTACAAAATGTGGACTTAAAACTATTATACACATTTTTGGACTGTGTCCCTTGCTGGCTATGGCTTGTTATACAGCAGTAGTACAGGATGATGAAATGATGAGAGATATTCTGATAGATATTCTGTAATGAACTGAAGCTAAAACTGAAGCTGTGCTCACCTTAGTAATGTCTGTCCTTAAGGAAAGTTTGAAGGAGAAGAGAAATGGAAAGGAAATGTTCAAGTAGCAAGCAGAGAGTGTTAGAGAGGAAGGATACACGTTTGTTAGGTAAGATTTGCATGCCATTGTTAGTAGGGGCTCAGACTGAGAAAGTAGAAGGTCATTATCTGATTGCACAAATCTATAAAGTGGCTAAACCATATATTAGGAGGCACACATAACCATAGTAAACTAAAAACTGTCTGTATTTGCTGAATTATATTTCCACTATACATGTATATCTTCTACTCCAAATGATCTCTCATTGAATGATAGGCTGCAACACCAGACGATCTCTTACCACAGAGTTCTCCGTCTTGATAGACTTGACCTGCAGGTAGTCCTCCATGCCTCTCGAGGTGCTGTCCATCTTCTCCTCCATGCCCCGGCCTGTCTCGTTCTCTCCATTCTCTTTGGGTGGCATGGGTCTGCTGGGCGGCAGGTCGCTGCGCTGTTTCTTTGTGACGTGGGCCTCTGGTCCGTGGACTGTCTTCACGTGCTTCCTAAGAGAGCTGGGGTCCGTGTAGCGCTTCGTACACCCGGGGATCTTACACACGTAGGGTTTCTGTGGATACAATTATTTGATTTATTTCACCTTTATTTATAAAGGTTATACTCAGAGAGATAAAATTAATTAAAATGTTACTTTTTCCACATTTTGTTATGTTACAGCCTTATTCTAAAATTTATTAAACCGTTTTTTCCCCTCATCAGTCGACACACAATAGCCCATAATGACAAAGCAAAAACAGGTTTTTAGATTTTTTTTGCAAATTTATAAAAAATAAAAAACGGAAATATTAAATTTACATAAGTATTTGGGCAGTGATTACAGCCTCGAGTCTTCTTGGGTATGACGCTACAAGCTTGGCACACCTGTATTTGGGGAGTTTCTCCCATTCTTCTCTGCAGATTTTCTCAAGCTCTGTCAGGTTGGATGGGGAGCGTCACTGCACAGCTATTTTCAGGTCTCGCCAGAGATGTTCCATTGGGTTCAAGTCCGGGCTCTGGCTAGGCCACTCAAGGACATTCAGAGACTTGTCCCAAAGCCACTCCTGCGTTGTCTTGGCTGTGTGCTTAGGGTCATTGTCCTGTTGGAAGGTGAACCTTCGCCCCAGTCTGAGGTCCTGAGCGCTCTGGAGCAGGTTTTCATCAAGGATCTCTCTGTACTTTGCTCCGTTCATCTTTCCCTCGATCCTGACTAGTCTCCCAGTCTCTGCCGATGAAAAACATCCCCACAGCATGATGCTTCCACCACCATGCTTCACCGTAGGGATGGTGCCAGGTTTCCTCCAGACGTGATGACGCTTGGCATTCAGGTCAAAGAGTTCAATCTTGGTTTCATCAGACCAGATAATCTTGTTTCTCATGGTCTGAGAGTCCTTTGGTGCCTTTTGGCAAACTACCTTATATAATGTTTGTGCCTTTCCAAATCATGTCTAATCAATTGACTTTACCACAGGTGGACTCCAATCAAGTTGTAGAAATATCTCAAGGATGATCAGTGGAAACAGGATGCACCTAAGCTCAATTTCTAGTCTCATAGTAAAGGGTCTAAATACTTATGTAAATGTGATATTTCAATTTTTTATTCTAAAAATCTGTTTTTGCTTTGGGGGTATTGTGTGTAGATTGATGAGGGAAAAAAACGATTTAATCAATTTTACAATAAGGCTGTAACGTAACAAAATGTGGAAAAAGTGAAGGGGTCTGAATACTTTCCGAATGCACTGTATATATATATATATATATATATATATATATATATATATATTTAATCCGAAGCGATTTACAGTACAGTGAGTGCATACATTTAAATGTGGCCCCAGTGGGAAGCAAACCAACAACCCTTGCGTTGTTACCACCACACTCTTACCAAGTGAGCCACACAGGATCCAGAGTGAGATGAATATCACCCAGTTCATATTCTGTTTAATAACATTCAAATACATGACTGTGAATTAGAATATCCATCCCCTCCTACTTACTCAGATTAGCTGTGACTAGCTGTTGTTGTAAACACGCAATTAGAGTGTATAAATTATGTATGTAAAACCAGTGACTTGTTGGTTCTGCTTAGAGCCACAGAATATCACTAAGATGTATGTGGTTTCCAGTAATAAAGTTAAAGTTATACTAGTGGGATGGATCCAGTCTTGTTTTTCATCCCGAGGGGTAGAGTGTGTGTGTGTCTGTGTGTGTGGATCTATGGGACATTGTGCTCTCCCCCCACATTTCTCTCCTCTATCTCCTGATGGATAGGCTAGTAGGAGGCTTGAAACGGTTCCAGGGTTCATTTTGTATTGGTGATCTGCAGGTGGTCTGGATCTCCATAGGGGATGCCTACGCTTGATTCACACTAATGCATTGTGGGGCTGCCACGCTCATTAGTTCCGCACATCATTATTTACTCACACACACGCCTGCATACACACACACGCACACTTGGGAACACATGCACACACAAACAAACACACACACACGGCCGTGGTTTAATGGGGCAAGTATAGACATCCAAGAACAATCACTGTGCGTGATGAGAAAAAGACATCTCATTTCAGCCTGAATATGTAAAAGGCTAGCAGACAACAGATTGAAGACACATTAGTCAGTTTGTACTTTCTTGATGCCACAATCTTTTGGCCCAGGACCTTACAGTCAGTCACAAAAGATAGAAGAATATTGATCCTACGGATGTCTGTCTAAGAGAATATCTAATGGACTCTATAAGTGAGTCTATCTGAAGTCTTGGCAGGGCAGAATGGAGCTGCAGTGCTGTGCAGTGTGGGAGCTTGTCTGCATCCCAAATGGCACCCTATTCCCTGCATAGTGCACTACTTTTGACCAAGGCCCTGGTCAAAAGTAGTGCACTATGAAGGGAATAGGGTGGTGTTTGGGAGGCAGCTCCAGTAGGACCTCATTGAAGTGTGTGTGTGTGTGCGCGTGTGCGCGTGTGTGCACCTCGTTGGAGTGTGTGCGGTTCTGGTGCTTGGCTCTGTCCGAGGCGTTAGAGAAGGCTTTGTTGCATCCCTCGTGGTCACACACATATGGTTTTTCCCCTGTGTGAGACCGCAGGTGGGTCTTCAGATTCTCCAGGCGAGAATAGGCCTTACAGCAGCCCTCAAACTGCAAAAGAGAGAAAGGAAAACACAGAAGCAGTCAAACACAGGATCTTTGTCCAGTGTATTTCACGTCTATCCTTGTTTTCCAATTCTGTTTAATTTTTATAAAGATGATCTTTGCAATTATTGTGTAATGAATTACACTCTAGTGTGGAGGCATATACAGTGCATTCGGAAAGTATTCAGACACCTTCACTTTTTCCACATTTTGTTACGTTACAGCCTTATTCTAAAATGGATTAAATAAAAACAATTCCTCATCAATCTACACACAATTCCCCATATAGACAAAGCAAAAACATGTTTTAGGATTTTCTTTGCTAATTTATTTTTAAAAAATGAAATACCTTCTTTACATAAGTATTCAGACCCTTTGCTATGAGACTGGAAATTGAGCGCAGGTGCATCCTGTTTCCATTGTCATCCTTGAGATGTTTCTACAACTTGATTGGAGTCCACCTGTGGTAAATTCAATTGATTGGACATTATTTGGAATGGCACACACCTGTCTATATAAGGTCCCACAGTTGACAGTGCAGGTCAGAGCAAAAACCAAGCCATGAGGTCGAAGGAATTGTCCGTAGAGCTCCGAGACAGGAATGTGTTGAGGCACAGATCTGGGGAAGGGTACCAACAAATTTCTGCAACATTGAAGGTCCCCAAGAACACAGTGGCCTCCATAATTTTTAAATGGAAGAAGTTTGGAACCACCAAGACTCTTCCTAGAGCTGGCCGCCCGGCCAAACTGAGCAATCGGGGAAGAAGGACCTTGGTCAGGGAGGTGACCAAGAACCCGATGGTCAGTCTGACAGAGCTCCGGAGTTCCTCTGTGGAGTTGGGAGAACCTTCCAGAAGGACAACCATCTCTGCAGCACTCCACCAATCAGGCCTTTATGGTAGCGTGGCCAGATGGAAGCCACTCCTCAGTAAAAGGCACATGACAGCCCACTTGGAGTTTGGCTGTAATCGCTGCCAAAGGTGCTTCAACAAAGTACTGAGTAAAGGGTCTGAATACTTGAATTTTTTTCAATTGAATTTACCACAGGTGGACTCAAATCAAGTTGTAGAAACATCTCAAGGATGATCAGTGGAAACTGGATGCACCTAAGCTCAATTATCTAGTCTCATAGTAAAGGGTCTGAATACTTGTGATATAAATTTGCAAAAATGTCAAAAAATCTGTTTTTGCTTTGTCATTATGGGGTATTGTGTGTAGATTGATGAGGGAAAAAAACAATTTTATCAATTTTAGAATAAGGCTGTAACGTAACAAAATGTGGAAAAGTGAAGGGGTCTGAATACTTTCCGAATGCACTGTAAATAGTCACCAATCCTAACTTTAGAAACAAATCTCCCCTTGACATCAGTGCATGATTTATGCGAAAAGTTAAGGATTTGGCCTGAAGAGAGCAAAGTCTTAGATGTTGTACATGAGGGACTTACAATACAGTACTGTAGAAGATATATCTAGGTCTTACTGTAATAAGGAACCATTGCCCTTTCCACTTCTTTACTTACATGATATACTGGTAATTACATCTGAAACCACTAACATCCACCCTACTAACCAGCTTAGGGAGATCCTCTATGAGAATATGTAATGTTGTTCATTCTGTAAGCACGATGAACCATCTTTCTTCCTTTTCTAGAATGATCAAGTGAAATATTGAGAAAAGCCCATGTGTGTGTGTGATTCTCAGTGAGTGTGTTTGTGTGTGTGTGACGGTGTACTCTACAAGTGTTTAGAGAGGCAAATGCTCAGCATAGGCCGAGCCTGGCAACGATCAGTTACTCACGGTACACTTGTGTGGCTTCTCCCCTGTGTGCCTCCTCATGTGAACAACCAGCATGTACTGAGCCTTGAAGGGCTTCTGCTCCCGCGAGCACTCATCCCAGCGGCACACGAACTCCTTCTTCTCCCCGTGGATATGGTCGTTATTGATGTGCTATAGGGAGACATGCCCGGATGAGACTTTCTGGATCTCTACAGCCTGTGAGATTACGGACCAGTCCAGTAACAACCCCTAGCCCCTACTCCCTAGACAATTGTGTCGATCTAAGGGATTAGATAGGTGTAAGCAATAGTAATTCAATTGTAGTAATTATATGAAATCTACATGAAGTGCCTAGGGGGAAAGGGATAGGTTTTCTTTCTGTGCAGGGCCTGTAACTTCTAATGTTTCTCTCTCCACTGAAGTCCCTCTGAGGTTGTCTGTGATTGAACTGTCTTTTTTATTAGGTGTCTAGTTGTGTTCTGTTCTATCTGTTATTGAGTGTAATTTTACTACTTAGAAAACATGCAAACACACTATCAACAGGAGACAGAGGTTTTCTCTGTGATAGAAGTCTGTTAGAACAAGTCAATTTCAGGTTGTTTCAAAGGCAGAGCAGCCATTTGCCTATCAAAGAAATTAGGAGTAACGCCATCAATCAAAGTTTGCAGTTTACTTTCCGTTTGTCAGACAGTGAAGAAAAAGACGTGATTGTGTTGTAGGTACGCACAATTTGCCATGTGGCGCTGTTTGTCTTTGATAGATGAGTTCCACTAGTCTACTTTCTCCCTAAGAGGGATTCTACGGTTAGGGAAATTAAATCAATCGTCAAACAGGCAAATGCTCCTTTGCTCCGTTCTGTTTGTATGTGTCTAGAGGTGCAGCCTTTCAACACTTTAATTTAATGGAATTGCCCTGTGACGGATTTCCAACTCTCTTATCCAAGATTGATGTGGTATCCTGCTGGCTGGCGTGCATAGCCTAGGGCGAATGGGTTTGGACAGGTATTGTGCACTTGTAAGCATTCCCTCATTAGGGCTGTAGTGTTTGAGTGCAGGGGCCCAGTGAGTGTGGAGGGATTACAACTCAAACCACTGTTTCTTGGGATCCCTTGATGAACCCATTTGTAGAAATGGACTTAATACCCTGAGAACATCAGGAATTACGAACAACCAGGTAACTAACAGGATGCTCGGGTTTCAAACCTGCAGCAACTAAAGTTACTTTTTTCCTTGCAAGAGTATAGTGCTAACAGGCATGTATGCATTCACACACACACACACACGCACACACACACACACACACACACACACACACACACACACACACACACACACACACACACACACACACACACACACACACACACACACACACACACACACACATCAGTGACAAGGACCATCATTGTGGCAGCTAAATGCCAGCATATTCCTTAGGCTACGCTCCCTACTTGTTGGTTTAATGTCTGGCCCATGATAATTAAGCCAAAGACACATGGTGGTTGAGCGTGCGTTGACTGCTCTCTCAGACAAGCAGCTCTTTGTCCGTAACTGCCTAACCTAAACCATCCTGGCCTATCATTATGAGGGTGTGTGTGTTTGTGTGTGTGTGCCTATCATTAGGAAGGATCTCAGAGAGGTCTAATGTTCAGCTGGAGTGTAACTGTCGTGACTGAGTGAAACAATGAGGACAGATAATGGAGGCCATAGTCTGAGCTCCTCTGTGTCACAGTGCACTCTCTCTCTCTCTCTCTCTCTCTCGCTGCAAAAAGGGGTCTTCTCTGAAGAGCTGGCGTCTCGACTCTACTCCTCTCTCTCTCACTCTATCTTCTCATCCACTCTCACTCTCTCCCACCTCCACCCCCCACCCCCACATCTCTCTTTCTCCATTCTCTCTCTCCTCTTCTTTCTCTCTCTCTGTCTGCCCCCCCTCTCTCTGCTTCACTGACGGCCTGGAATGCCCCTGCTCGACCAAGACTCTACATGCCAAAAAGTCCAATAGAGTAAAACAATCCCAGTTTCATGGAGGCTAAACACTTAGCTAAGCTTACTTATGTGAACAACCAATTAATCATTTTACTATCAGTATCTATATGAATCATTTGACTCTCGTAATCTCTATTAATCTCTATATTAATCATTTGACTCTCAGTATCTATAGGAATCATTTGACTCTCAGTATCTATATTAATCATTTGACTCTCAGTATCTATAGGAATCATTTGACTCTCAGTATCTATATTAATCATTTGACTCTCAGTATCTATAGGAATCATTTGACTATCAGTATCTATATGAATCATTTGACTCTCAGTATCTATAGGAATCATTTGACTCTCAGTAACTATCTGGAGGAAAGCATAATAAAACAGGACCCCAGTTTAAGTCTATTGACAAGCCTCAGTCTTAGGCAGCACTAAAATATGGACTCTGTTAGTCTGTTAGAGGTTACTGTGGAGACTAAATCAGGGAGGGTTTAGGGGTTTAGTGTTCCTGGCAGGACGGCTTTATGTTGGGCTTCAAAGGTCAGAGGTCAGAGGTTAGGGAGCTCATATAGACCTAGAGGTCAATGGGATTTATTCTGGACTTATTCCAGCTGCACTGACAGGCAGACCTCCTCTCTCTCACCACGCACTCATTAGATAGCGACCTTCCTCTGCTCTTGGCCCTGGGCCAGGTTTCATCATTAGAACCACAGGTAACATACTACCAGAGTCCATAGGTTCTAACGATTAGCTTAGCCTTAAGATGCTCTTTAGGAAACCGGCTCCAGGTTGGTTGTTTTAAAACACGCAGGGACATTTTCTGAGCTAGTTAAACAAAAAGGAAACGCTTGTCTGATGCCTGTCCCCTGTCCCTGTCCCCATCCCCTCCTGTCCCTCCGTCCCCGTCCTCTCCTTACATGGACCAGTTGTTCCTGCGTGTCGTACTCCTTGGAGCATCCCTCCCATTGGCAGTTGGTCTCATACACCATCTCTGGCTCATGCTTGCATTCATCTTTATCCAAGTCCTCCTTCAGGTCCAGCATCCCACCTAGATGATCCTGTTAGAGTTAGAAGAACACGAGAAAAGAGAAGAAGAAGACTTTATAGTCCATTCTTTCTTACGGTCCACGGAAATATTTTTTCTTTTAACCCAATACAAGCCATTAACCCTCCTGCTGAAATTCTACTCAACAACACTTCAACTATTACTGTTACTGATGTGGGGAGGGGATACCCTGACATTATCCGAGATAGCCCAGATTGACTTGTCTGGAGGAACAGAGTGACTAATGTACATGTAACAGACAGATGCGTTAATTTTTTTCTGGCCAGGCAGGGATTCATTGACAGTTCCCAGGCCTGCAGGCTGTGTGTGTGTATGTTTGTGTGACGTGCAGCCCATCCCCTGGTCTCCTCTCTCTCTCTCCACAGCGCCAGCCTCCCACCCTTCCCTGCTCCAATGTGCTGACTGCAGCATGTTTATCTCTGCACCGCGCCACTATCTTCATCAATTCTACTGGCCCCAAGACGACTGTGCGCACCGCCATCCCCATGCATCAAGCACAAACCCAAACCTGCCTCTGAGTCGGAGAGGAGGGCGCAAATTTGTCAAGAGAGAGAGAGAGAGAGAGAGAGAGAGAGAGAGAGAGAGAGAGAGAGAGAGAGAGAGAAGAGAGAGAGAGAGAGAGAGAGAGAGAGAGAGAGAGAGAGAGAGAGAGAGAGAGAGAGAGAAAGAAAGCACCTCAGATGACAATAAAGTCTGGCCAATATTTCATTAAAATGAAGTGCTGTGGCACAGTTTACAGTGGCCAGGGAGAAAAGAAGAGAGAGCGGAACAAACGAATGGATGCAAAGCTCTTATCACACAGAGTTTTTCTTCTTTCAGCCGTAGCAGAGAAAGAAAGGGGGTCAGGGGACTGGCTGGTTCCCAGGGGTCTGTGTCAATTCAGCACAGAGGAGTATTTGGGGAGGAAATGGCAGAGGAAAGGAAGCAAAGGAAGCAGTTTTTTAATCATCAGTTGCAAAGAATTGATCATTTTTTCATTGCCCTCAACATGTCATTCTCTTTAGATCCTATCAACCCATACGTTTCACTTACTGTACAGGGCAACAAGGTTCATCATAACAACTGATTTATAAAGTAGTAGATCCTTATCTGATTCTTACCGGAGAACATGGGGACAGCGGCCTCGGACACTCCACCTCTGTCTTCACCTTTGACCTCTTGGTGATCATGGGATTGACTGTACTGCTCACTGCCGAGTCCCCACATGTGTTCTGGAGTGGAGGAGAGAATAGGAGATGAGAGGAGAGGAGGAGAGGAGGGGAGAGAGGAGAAGAGAGGAGTGGATAGAAGAAAAGAAAAGAAAAGAAAGGAAATGTAAAGAAAAGAAAAGATTGGGGTTAATAGAGGGCTAGAGTCAAATAGACATTCATATATCAGAGGTGAGCCACCACAGAGACTAAACAATTTAGAGTGTTTTATGATGAGAGGGTGGAGTACAGTATGGAAACATCCCATCCATCTACAGTGAGCCCACTGCCTGAGGCTTCAGTGTAAACCAGGTGAATCCTAGAGAAACCTTAGAGAAAAGAGAAGGCACACCCCACCACCTACACAGTCAATGCTTCACAATAAGCTGACATAGGCAGTATCTGGCAGTTGGTTTGAATAGTCATGCTAGACTGTGATTCTGTGATTGCACTAAACCACAGCAAAGTGTTCCTAATCAGAGGAAGACTTTGTTTCTCCTCAGTATCCCTCTGTGTTTACTGTGGGCTGAAACAGAACCGTGGGGTTGGGATCGTGTGGGTTGGGGCAATGAGGGTTTAATGTCCCCAATCCCTTTATTCATTGGTATGGAGTTTACCTTAAGAAGGGGCATTTCAGTGAATGGTATGATAATAAATGCACTGGCAGAGAGAACCACAAACCACAGTGGATGTATACACTGGATGAGGGAAGGGGACTGCAGTACTGATGTTTTAAATCATCTTAAAACAAGTTTACTGAGAACGCAAACAACAGAAGAAAATTGTACAGCTGTAGATGTAATGCTGGTTGGATTAGAGCATCCCACACAATACCAGAATTCCCAGAAGGCCACAGGGCAAGGCTCACATTTGGCGGTTATGGATAATGAGAAGATCTACCTCGTACCGGACAATTTAGGTACAGTTCAGGAAGAAGACTGACAAACTGAAGGAAAAAGTATTCACACATCAAAGCTGGTTTGCACACCACCATTACCAAAGAAGAGCAGTCTCACCTTTGACTGTGAGCCATTGTTGTGGTTGTGTGAGGAGGGGGGCAGAGAAGAGAGACCCAGGGAAGACTGGCGACTGGAGAAGGTGGGCGGGGGCTGGATGAGGGGAGGGGTGTGGCCGAATGCACTTAGGCCTCTCTGCTGGGACAGGAGCTGCTGGTAGGCCATGGGGTTGATGTGGTGGGGGAACGTAAAGGACGGACTGGAACACAAGACAATAAAACACATGAGAGATATGTCACTGATCTCCAACGGTGACACAAAGTTCCACTTTCAACCCAGGTAGCCTAGAGGTTAAGAGTGTTGGACCAGTAACCAAAAGGTTGCTAGTTCGAATCCACAAGCTGACTAGGTGAAAAATATGTCAATGTGCCCTTGAGCAAGGCACTTAACCCTAACTGCTCCTGTAAATCGAGCGTCTCCTAAATTACTAAAATGTCACTACTTTTCACCTGAACCCAATGTTGGTCATATATGGTCATGTACAGTTGAAGTCGGAAGTTTACATACACCTTAACCAAATACATTTAAACTCAGTTTTTCACAATTCCTGACATTTAATCGTAGTAAAAATTCCCTGTCTTAGGTCAGTTAGGATCACCACTTTATTTGAAGAATGTGAAATGTTAGAATAATAGTAGAGAGAATGGTTTATTTCAGCTTTTATTTCTTTCATCACATTCCCAGTGGGTCAGAAGTTTACATACACTCAATTAGTATTTGGTAGCATTGCCTTTAAATGGTTTAACTTGGGTCAAACGTTTCGGGTAGCCTTCCACAAGCTTCCCACAATAAGTTGGGTGAATTTTGGCCCATTCCTCCTGACAGAGCTGGTGTAACTGAGTCAGGTTTGTAGGCCTCCTTGCTCGCACACACTTTTTCAGTTCTGCCCACACATTTTCTATAGGATTGAGGTCAGGGCTTTGTGATGGCCACTCCAATACCTTGACTTTGTTGTCCTTAAGCCATTTTGCCACAGCTTTGGAAGTATGCTTGGGGTCATTGTCCATTTGGAAGACCCATTTGCGACCAAGCTTAACTTCCTGACTGATGTCTTGAGATGTTGCTTCAATATATCCACATAATTTTCCTTCCTCATGATGCCATCTATTTTGTGAAGTGCACCAGTCCCTCCTGCAGTAAAGCACCCCCACAGCATGATGCTGCCACCCTCGTGCTTCACGGTTGGGATGGTGTTCTTCGGCTTGCAAGGTCCCCCTTTTTCCTCCAAACATAACGATGGTCATTATGGCCAAACAGTTCTATTTTTGTTTCATCAGACCAGAGGATATTTCTCAGAAAAGTACGATCTTTGTCCCCATGTGCAGTTGCAAACCGTAGTCTGGCTTTTTTATGGCGGTTTTGGAGCAGTGGCTTCTTCCTTGCTTAGCGGCCTTTCAGGTTTTACTGTGGATATAGATACTTTTGTACCTGTTTCCTCCAGCATCTTCACAAGGTCCTTTGCTGTTGTTCTGGGATTGATTTGCACTTTTCGCACCAAAGTACGTTCATCTCTAGGAGACAGAACGCGTCTCCTTCCTGAGCGGTATGACGGCTGCGTGGTCCCATGGTGTTTATACTTGCGTACTATTGTTTGTACAGATGAACGTGGTACCTTCAGGCATTTGGAAATTGCTCCCAAGGATGAACCAGACTTGTGGAGGTCAAACATTTTTTTTCTGAGGTCTTGGCTGATTTCTTTGGATTTTCCCATGATGTCAAGCAAAGAGGCACTGAGTTTGAAGGTAGGCCTTGAAATACATCCGCAGGTACACCTCCAATTGACTCAAATTATGTAAATTAGCTTATCAGAAGCTTCTAAAGCCATGACATCATTTTCTGGAATTTTCCAAGCTGTTTAAATGCACAGTCAACTTAGTGAATGTAAACTTCTGACCCACTGGAATTGTGATACAGTGAATTAAAAGTGAACTAATCTGTCTGTAAACAATTGTTGGAAAAATTACTTGTGTCATGCACAAAGTAGATGTCCTAACCAACTTGCCAAAACTATAGTTTGTTAACAAGAAATTTGTGGAGTGGTTGAAAAACGAGTTTTAATGACTCCAACCTAAGTGTATGTAAACTTCCGACTTCAACTGTATAAGGCTGTGGCGGTCATTACATTTTGTCAGCCATGAATAAGGCTGTGGCGGTCATGAAATTCTGTCAGCCAGTGATTGTCAAGCAAATAACTGCCGGTCTCACAGTAATTTACCATTAATAAACATAAACACATTTAGCATCTCCTGGCTTCCACGCATAGCCTACAAGTCACTGATGCAGACCTTCGGAACATCTACATTTAAAAAAGTCGAATAAATCCATGTAATATAGCCTACAACATCACAATAAATCCATTATTTATTTTAGACATTTTATGAAGAAAATGTAGTCTATTTCAGAAAGAAAAAAAAAATCCTTGCCTTTTGCAGCCAAAGTGGCCGTTGTGCCCTTGGGCTGAATATAATAATTATAACTCCGTGATGAAGCACCTCTTACTCACATGGTTCTCTGTCAAGTGATCGGGTCTTTCTTACAGGCTACAAGTGAAGACAGACACATCGGGGACGCAACTGTGCGTGTCCTTATCCAATTCCGCGGCGCATATTGAAGATAATGGAGGAACTGTCCACATTTACTAGCCTATGTCAATCTACTATCCCCCATAGTACAAAAGTTGACATATTCTATTCTGTGCGAGAAACAAATATTCCAAACATAGTCTGGGACCGTTGTGGGATGCGATAGATCCCAAATTAATACAACTACTAGCATCAAAAACCTGTTTTAAGCAATGAGCCTGACGCAACAGATGAGAACGTTTAGCTAAAAATGTTGATAAACTTTTAGGCCATTTCTTCACATTCTTCACACAGCAATGCGCACACAGCAGTAGGCTATAAGTGCGAATGTTCCATTAGCAGGAAAACACCATTCTCAAAAGTGACCACAAATGCGATTATGATTACATGCATAATCGCATTTGTGTGCACATTGCTTTTATCATAAAGGTGCATTTTTATGGTAAAAACTATCTTCCCCAAACTTGAAACTCACGTGCTGTGTATGTATGCCAGTTAGGCTCTACACCCGTTTTGTAAAGTGGATTAATGTGCTTCATTTTAAGAAGTTAGTTGGCCACTTTAGTTATGATGCAAACCTTATCAAAACATACAGTGCATTCGGAAAGTATTCAGACCCCTTGACTTTTTCCACATTTTGTTACGTTACAGCCTTGTTCTAAAACATATTAAATAGTTTTTTCCCCTCATCAATCTACACACAATACCCCATCATGACAAAGCAAAAACAGGTTTTTAGAAAAAAACTGAAATATTACATTTACATAAGTATTCAGACCCTTTACTCAGTACTTTACTAACTTTAAGCATCAGTTGTCAGAGCACCTTACCGATCACTGCACCTGTACACAGCCCATCTGAAATTAGCCCACCCAACTACCATCCCCATATTGTTATTTATTTTGCTCATTTGCACCCCAGTATCTCTATTTGCACATAATCTCTTGCACATCTATCATTCCAGTGTTAATACTAACTGTAATTATTTTGCACTATAGCCTATTTATTGCCTTACCTCCATAACTTGCTACATTTGCACACACTGTATATATATTTTCTGTTGTATTTTTGACTTTATGTTTTGTTTTACCCCATATGTAACTCTGTGTTGTTGTTTTTATCGCACTGCTTTGCTTTATCTTGGCCAGGTCGCAGTTGTAAATGAGAACTTGTTCTCAACTGGCTTACCTGGTTAAATAAAGGTGAAATAAAAAATAAATGAATAAAAAACTTTGCTGAAGCACCTTTGGCAGTGATTACAGCCTCGAGTCTTCTTGGGTATGATGCTACAAACTCGGCACACCTGTATTTGGGGAGTCAGGTTGGATGGGGAGCGTTGCTGCACAGCTATTTTCGGGTCTCTCCAGAGATGTTTGATCGGGTTCAAGTCCGGGCTCTGGCACACCTGTATTTGGGCAGTTTCTCCCATTCTTCTCTGCAGATCCTCTCAAGCTCTGTCAGGTTGGATGGGGAGCGTTGCTGCACAGCTATTTTCGGGTCTCTCCAGAGATGTTTGATCGGGTTCAAGTCCGGGCTCTGGCTGGGCCACTCAAGGACATTCAGAGACTCCTGCGTTGTCTTGGCTGTGCGCTTAGGGTCGTTGTCCTGTTGGAAGGTGAACCTTCACCTCAGTCTGAGGTCCTGAGTGCTCTGGAGCAGGTTTTCATCAAGGATCTCTCTGTACTTTGCTCCGTTCATCTTTCCCTCGATCCTGACTAGTCTCCCAGTCCCTGCCACTGAAAAACATCCCCACAGCATGATGCTGCCACCACCATGCTTCACCGTAGGGATGGTGCCAGGTTTCCTCCAGACGTGACGCTTGGCATTCAGGCCAAAGAGTTCAATCTTGGTTTCATCAGACCAGAGAATCTTGTTTCTCATGGTCTGAGAGTCCTTTAGGTGCCTTTTGGCAAACTCCAAGCGGGCTGTCAGAGTGACCATCGGGTTCTTGGTCACCTCCCTGTCCAAGGCACTTCTCCCCTGATTGCTCAGTTTGGCCAGGCAGCCAGCTCTAGGAAGAGTCTTGGTGGTTCCAAACTTCTTCCATTTAAGAATGATGGAGGCCACTGTGTTCTTGGGGACCTTCAATGCTGCAGACATTTTTTGGAACCCTTCCCCAGATCTGTGCCTCGGCACAATCCTGTCTCAGAGCTCTACGGACAATCCCTTCGACCTCATGGCTTGGTTTTTGGTCTGACATGCACTGTCAACTGTGGGACCTTATATAGACAGGTGTGTGACTTTCTAAATCATGTCCAATCAATTGAATTTACCACAGCTGGACTCCAATCAAGTTGTAGAAACATCTCAAGGATGATCAATGGAAACAGGATGCACCTGAGCTCAATTTCGATTCTCATAGCAAAGGGTCTGAATACTTATGGTATTTCTGTTTTTTATTTGTAAGAAATGTGCAAACATTTCTTAAAACCTGTTTTTGCTTTGTAATTATGTGGTATTGTGTGTAGATTGATGATGATTTTTTTTTTTTTTAATCCATTTTAGAATAAGGCTGTAACGTAACAAAATGTGGAAAAAGTCAAGGGATCTGAATGCTTTCCGAATGTACTGTATAGGCCTATGGGCTAGGCTACATGAGGCGTGGGACTATGATTAGAACAAGTTGCCAAAAAAAGCGTGCGCTGTTTCTTGCCTTAAGCTGGGCATCATTCACAAATGATAATATATCATTCACAAGTGATAGGCTAATATTGTCACCCATCATACTATTCTTGATTTAATCTTGTCTTTACATATACTAAATAATATATGTGTGAAATTTATTTAGATTTAGAATGGACCATTATCATGCACCTGTCTTGAAACAGGGGTAGCGGAAAAAAATACATGTCATCTATGCACTTAAATAGCGAATGGAGGACGCTTTTCCCGTGGTTCATTTTCATGCCAGCCAGGTAGGCTATAGTCCTGTTGTAAAGAGAAGCAATGTGCTTAATATTAGGAAAGATGAGAAATAAATATAGTAGGCTTAGCCTATAAAAAGCTGATGGGATCCTCGTCTTTTTAATAGAGGCCATCACTCTGTTTTCTCACGCAATTGCATAGCCTATAAAAATGTTGCGCAACATGAGCTCATGGGCTCTCATGAAGTGTTTGATTAGATTTTCGATTATATTTGCATTGACGTCAGAGTGATTAGAGGGACAATAGAGTGCTGAGTACCAGGCAGTTAGCAAGTTTGGTAGGCTACTAATGACCGTCAGCAGCATCAGAGCTTGGAGAAGCCTAATTAGTGTGACTAAACGGTCACGTGGAATTTGACTGCCGTCATGACTCGTGACCGCCGGTGTGGCTCTGATACGGTCACCGTAAAAGTCCAAGTCATGTATAACTTTGTGACTTAAGTGGAGTTCATATTCATGTGACCAGTATATCAGTTAACCCTATCCAAGCATTCTTATATCAATAGTTTGAACAATCAGTTATTACTACATATTGACTAGTTACTGGCTAGGGTACCTGATGCCTCCAACAGAGAGGTGTCCGTAGGAGCTGCTGGCTGCCGAGCTAGAGCGTGAGTTGTTAATGTAGGCCACCAGAGAGTTGGGTGAGGTACGGATCATGGTCTGCAGGTCGATGCTGGCGTCTGAGAGAGGCGAGATGGACAGGGCTCGCTTTCTGTTCAGCCTGGGGGTCAGTCTGGGACTGGAGAACCGTGACACTGAGGAAGAGAAAGAAACACAGACACATACAGACCGTTAGTCTGACAACCTTTGAACTTCTCCTCTCAGCTGGGCATAGTTTGCCTATATCTCCCAAGTTGCATCTGATTGAAGTATGCAGAGACTTATTGTCGTAGTTTGCATATATATATATACAGTATATCCACAACATGCGTGATCTATAATGGCTATCAGTTTAAACTTTTATGCCCTGTAACCTGCTTTCTGCCCCTACACCTATCCCCCTTATTGTTCACTCCAAGCCAAGTCAAAAGCCCAGTGTCTCTCTCTCTCTCCCTAAGGGAGGGCACCCACTTTACCACTGTGAGATATTAAGAATGTTTGCAACTTTTAAAATAATTTAATATAGGCAAAAATAAATCTATCGAGTCAATCTTTCTTTCTCACTATCATTGTGTCATTTCCCCATCCCATCCTACCCTGCCCAACTCTGTGCTATTTCTGGAGTTACAGAGAGAGACAGACCTAGAGGAACGCTCCAGCCCAGCCCAGCCTCTAGCCCAGCCTGGGACTGCGTGATGGATGCTAACGCAGCCTCCCTCCGACACCCAAACCCCCTGGAAATAGAGCAGCACTATCAATAAGTGCTCAAGATTGATTCCCAGCTAATACAGTAAACAATTTGTCTGAGGTGATGGAAACCGAGCCTGGCAGAAGATATTGTTGCAGTAAAATAAACTCATCTCTTATCCGGTGCTAGAATTATAGCAGGGGAAGGAAATAAAGCAGAGGATAGATAGGGGATGGAGATGAAAGATGGAAATAAAAAACCGAAAGCAACAATCCTCAAACAACTTTCTTTAATGAGCCCTAGTGACACACATTTTCAATGTACACGACCTAGAATTAAAATAAAACAAAATGCGCATAACAAACGGCTTCTATTCTGTTTGAAAAGATCTTAGCTCTGGTGTCTTTCAAAATCCATGCATCCTAAATGGCAACCTATTTCCTATATAGTGCACCACTTTTGACCAGAGCCTTATGTAGGGAATAGGGTGTCATTTGGGATGCAGACATAGGCCACGGTGACCTCATTAAGATTCAGTGTAAAGGATAATAAATCTAAGCCTAAATAATGTACTTTAATTAATCAGATAAAAATCTCACTGAGATCGAAAACATTCTGTACTTCACTTTGGTAAATGAGGCCAATTTAGAGAATTGATTTCAACTGAAATGTATGCAAAGTGTTTTTGATCGCTCTTATGTTCATGGTTTATAATGTACATTTTGTCACAGTTTATTCTTTAAGTCCCTAAGCTACCTGGTCTTACTTTGAAAAATGACAATGTAGGATGATAATTACGTAATAACTATCCAATAATTACTTCATGAAAATTGCCACTATGTATAATTTGCTACCAGCCAGGTACAGTAGTTACTGTAACCAGCTGTTTAAACATATTTGAAGAATAAACTGTATGGATAATGGCATTTTGAAAAAATTTATAATACACCAAATCACAGATTAAATTCATAAAGCTGGTTATTCTCTAATTTCCTGTGATATGTAATCGGTGTGTTTCTGGTGTCTGTTGCTCTAGGGCGCCAGTGATGTCAGCAGGAGAGCCAGTCAGCCAGTTGTTCAGGGCTCAACAGGTGCTAGACATTAGCAGTGGTATTAGTGGAGCCGGTCCAGACCAACAGTGTCCTTAGGACCTGTGGGGTAATAACCAAAGGCACTGCAACGGATATCCCATAATGGCTCAATAACATGTGGTGCCAACACCAGGCACTGCACCAGCAGCTCTACACAAACAGTGCCTCGGCTGATCAAACTCAGGCTACCACCACAGAGAATAACATTCTCGCTTCCTGTGCCATTATTCTTAGCAGAAGCTAATGGCTAACTGTCATTTCTAAATAGTATCTCCAATACAGTCCCATAAGTACCACACATGTGCTCAGTTTTAGTGCTTTGGGACTTTCCTAAACGTCCTGGGACATATTGACCAGGGCTTGGGTCAATTCTAATTAAAGGCAGTGAATTCAGGAAGTAAACTTAAACAACAACAATTTTAAAAAAGGCGTCTATTTTCAATGACTTCTCAATAAACAGAGGAGTGGAAGCTATTTATTTAAAAACTTGTCCATTTTTAAATTTAAATGAAAATCACTTTTAAATAATAATTGACCCCAGCCCTGATATGGACTCCACCACTGTCTCTCAGGGGATATTTATGCTATGAGACTTAATATAAATAAATGTCTTACATCAGCTGTTAAAGAACTCGATGACATGATAGGGGGAGGGGGTTCGCGTTGGAGAATATGTGTTGTAATTTAGCAGTAGTTAACTAGTTACTAACTCAGGTTCATTCTAGAAGAAAAGGTGAATTTAGCCCTTAGTATTTACATTGCATTAATGGTTCTATAGTTTCAGTGACTGGAACAAGCCATTCAGAAATGGCAGCCTTATTTATCTGTGTTAGCGGCTCACCTCAGGGGAGATGTGTTTATTAATGTGCCACTTCCCCTGATAAATGAGGTAATGGAAAGCCGGGCCTGGCGCTCACCTCACCTCTCCTCGTCCCCCCTCCCCTCGCAGCCCCTCGCCTCCTTTTTCCCCCTGTGATTTATGTCAGCAAGCCAGGCACCAGGCAGCGACCGACTGCTAGGTGTGTGTGTGGACGACCGACTGCTAGGTTGTGTGTGTGGATTGGCCCCCTCCTCCTCCAGAGGCTGGGCTGGCCTTGAGACCTGAGTGGCCATGTCACTAGGTAAGGCTGGCTCTCACATTCACAGCCTGCTCTGGCCAGGCTTCCTTGGCTGAGTTCAGAGAGACAGAGGGATGTATATATCTGGTTAACTTCACTATGAGAGACAGAGGGATGTGTCAATCTGGTTAACTTCACTATGAGAGACAGAGGGATGTATCTCTCTGGTTAACTTCACTATGAGAGACAGAGGGATGTATCTATTTTCAAAAAAAAATTGAAGGGCTTTATTGGCATGGGAAACATATGTTAACATTGCCAAATCTATCTGTGCTGGGTTTAACTTCACTATGAGGAGGACTATGACTTCAGTGGTGGAGAAGCTGTATGAGCCAAAGTGGCTGTGGTCTTATTTAAACTCTGTTCTCCTGGTAGTTAAGGTCCATTGTTTCTCTGTGTAACATAGATATTACACTACTAACAAGCCAAATTCATCATACAGTACACAGCCTTTGTCTTGGGAGCTGGGCTACAGAGAGGTCTGCACAGTGTATTTCACTGTTTGGGAGTTAAGTTATGACAGTTTGTATACGCACAGCAGGCTGAGGCCTTTGGCTGCATGCCCCTGGCTGGCCTGAGCAAGCAGAAGCTTGGCCCAGACACAATGCAACACAACAGCTCATTCAGAACCACGGCCTGCTGGATGCTGCACAACTCAGACACTGGAGGACAATGTTCACTCTCTCACTGCACACCCAGGTAGACCGACTAGGCTCAGAGCAATCATTTAACTTGTACAGGACAGGTAGCAAAACTCACTGTCTGTGTGTCAAATCAAATCCTATCCTTCACCTTGAGTAGAGGGGCCTGATCTCACCTTCTCTGAGTGTTTGGAGCGTAGGGTGAGCTGCTTGAGGCGACATCGCTGGGGTGAGTTGTGTGTTTTATCGGCCGAGGAAGCAGTAGTGGTAGTAGCTACAGTAGAAACACTGGTAGCTGTGAGCCTCATTTGATGATGGATAAGGGCCTACAGTATTTCCTATTGCCTTAACGTCTGTCGGGATTCCTGTAAATGTCATGCAGCAATACAGTAAAAGGCAAGGGAATATCAGTGCCTGTCCTAATCTGAACCTATCTGTTATATGAACACAGTGAACTTGTTTGATATCCAAGCTTCTGTATAGGGTGGTTTTGATGTCATGTTCCGTCACACTACACTATAGCCTAATGGGTAATGCTACTGTACTGTAACACTATCCCTGTGTACAATAATCAGTCTCTCCCTAGACACCACTACCCTTTAAGGTGACAGAGGTAGTTGAGGATGGAAGTAGGCATTCATTACATTAAACATACTTCTGACCCAGGTGCCCTCTGCATCACCCCTCCCCCCCTGTCCCCCTCCTCCCCTCTGAATGAGCAACCTCCTCCAGTAAATGTCATCTCAGTACAATCAGGTCTGTTGTTTATGGAATGTCCTGGCACAGACTTGAGAGAGGGAAATACTTACTGAACCTATACTGTGGTTGCAGTACCTGAGGGCTTCTGGCCCGCCCTTTGAAGTTGTTTGAAATGAAAAATGTATAAAAGCCTTTTTATGTTCTGCTGCCTACAATTCCATTGATATGGATTTCATCATTCTCCTAAGGTGAGGTTGTTGCATTACTCATGTTGCTTTTAAAAGTGACATACCTTCCAATAAAAATGGCCACCATATTATAGGCCTACAGTACACACTGATGCCAACAGAGTAAGGGGCAGGGGACACAAATAAAATCTTTCCCCTAAAATGAATGTTACAATTCGTACCCACACACTTCCAAGGATGGACGTCTGGGAACTGGCAAAGTCTGTGAACTGACCACTGTAAATCACCAGGAATTTAGCTCAAATACACTTGTAAAGATTATTTCACTTTTGGGACTGTGTTCCCATGCATGCCCCCCCCACACACACAATTCCACCCCTTCCCACACAGACAGTATAAACCTGTTCTGAAGATACAACAGACATACAGTAAAGAGGAGTGGGCCTCTGTGTAGTCCCAGTCTAACTCACCATCCATGGGGGTGATGTAGTCTGGCAGGTGTGCAGCTGCCGCCCCACCCCCCTGCATCAGCAGCTCTCCGTAGGGGTTACGGTGGCTGGCCATCAGGTGGTAGTACTCAGCAGGGCTGGCTCCAGGAGGGGGAGGGGGCAACCCAAACAGACCCCGCTCTTTCAAATGTTCATGCGCCACTGCAGGGGGATAGGAAGGAGGAGAATGAGTGAGGGACACAGAGGGAGGAAATAGGGGTGGAGAGAAGAAGAGAAAGGAGACAGACATTTACAGGGAGAGGAAGGAGGAGAGGAAGGAGGAGAGAAAGGAGACACCTTTGCAGGGAGGAAGGAGAAGAGGAAGGAGGAGAGAAAGGAGACACATTTTCAGGGAGAGGAAGGAGAAGAGGAAGGAGAAAGGAGGAAGGGGGGAGGAGATGAGGAGGATGAGGAAGGAAGGAAGGAATGAAAGGAGAAGATCAGAGATGATGTTCTCCTGCGATTCATCTTCCCGTTTTCTCTCCGCTCCTTCTCGCCTTCTGCCTCTTCCCTCTTTCCTTCTCTTGCCTTCTCTTTCTTCTCTCTTCCTTCTTCCTCTTCTCTTCATCTCGCTCTCTCTCTTCCTGCGTCCTTCCCTTTTCTTCTCCGTCCTTCTTCTCTTCTTCTCCTCTTCCTTCTCATCTTCCTCTCCGCCCTCTTTTCTTCTTCTCCTCTCCTCTCTGCCCCCTTCCCTCTCTTCCTTGCCTTCTCTCCTCCTCCGCCCTCTCCTCCTCCGCTCTCTCTTGCCGGCTTCTTCGCTCTCCTCTCCGTTCTTCTCTTCCTGCTCCTCTGCTCTCTCTTCCTCTCCTTCTTCTCTTCCTGCCTCTTCCTATTCCGTCTCTCGCCCTCCTTCTCTCTTCCTTCTCTATTCTCTTCTCTTCCTGTTCTTCTCTTCCTTTTGAGCTTCGGTTTCGTTACCTCTGCTCTTCTTCTCCTCTTCCCTCGCTTCTCTCGTTCCCTCTTCCTTCGTCTCTGTCTCGTTCTTCCGTCCTCGTCCTTCTTCGCTTCGCCTCTTCCTTCTTCGCTTCCTCTTCCTGCTTCTTCTGTCCTCTCCTTGTCTGCCTCGTCCTTCTCTCTTCCGTCCTCGCCGCCGGTCCTTCTTTCTGCCTCTCCCTTCCTCTCTCTTCTTTCTCCTTCGCCTCTCCCCGTCTTCCGTCTCGTCTTCCTTTCCTGCCTCGCCCGTCCTTCGGCCTTCCCGGCTCCCTCGGCTGTCTCTCCCCGCCGCGGCCGTGCTGCCTTCCCTGCCTCGGCCGCTCTGTCTGCCCCTACGGCGGCCGTCGGCTCCCTTGCTTCTGCTCCTGCGGCTCTTCGCGTCTCGCGGCGTGTGACCCTCCTGCCGTCTTCGTGCTTCCTTCTCCTCTTCCTTCTCCGCTTCCTCTCTCTTCCTATCCTTCGGCTTGCCTTCCTTCCCGCTTCCTTTCCTCTGCCTCGCCTTCGTTCCTCTTCCTCCTCTTCGCTTCTCGTTCTCCTCCCTTTCCTCCGTCTTCCTTTCGCGTACGATGAGTAAGGGAGAAAGAGGGGAGAATGTTGAGGAACAGTAACATTGCTTTAGGACATGAGAGGATGAATGAGAAAGAAAATGAGTGAGGGGAGAGAAAGACGTTCCAGATTCCAGATTCCAGCCCTGGTTGGTCTACTTGGTCTCACCACATGGCCAGAGCCATTTAAAAAGGGTTAGGGTTAGGATTGGCATGATGGCACTGTCCTAGGAAGACTTTATCTACATCCCAAATGGCATCCTATTCCCTATATAGTGCACTACTTTTGACCAGGACTAGAGAATATAGTGCCATTTGGGACACAGTCATTGATGCAGGACAAGAGGAATGGGAGGGAGTGGGAGGGCCAGGCTGGCTGGGCAGTGAGGTTAGTGATGTGCAGCGAGGCATGAGACGAGATTAGAGAGAGGAAAAGAGAATAAAGATAGTAGAGAGAGATGAGAGAGAGAGAGAGAGGAGAGAGAGAGAGAAGATGAGGAGAGAGAGAGAGAGGCGAGAGGAGAGACGGCCTAGAGAGAGGTGTGAGGAGGGAGTAGAAGAGCTAGGGCGTAGTAGACGAATGAGATAGAGAAGAGATGACGAGAGATAGGATATACTCGTGCCTTTTGCATTCGGAGAAGATAGAGACGCGAGAGAGGGAGGGAGGGGAAGCGAGAGAGAAGAGGGGCCCCACTCCACATTCCTGCATTTCCTCCAACTCAGAAGCAAAGTAGTGGTGGGGCTGAAGTTGCACTGTTTCTCTCTTTGAAAACACAAACACACAACACACACACACACACACACACACACACACCCTGAAGGAGCACCCTGAATCCTACAGTAACAACGGTGTTAGGCTGTTAACATCTTCACCCAGTAAAGCCCTTTTAAAAGTGTCAGGGGCAATAAGAGTGGAATATGAATTTGTTTTACATGGCCTATATCTGCTGGTGAATAGCAGCACTCTGTCCCAGAGGCTTCCAAATGCCATCTGTTTCTCCAGGAATTTAGGAGGAAATGTCTGTTCTGTTTATGGTCTGGGTCAGGGTGCAGGGGCTCCCCTCTTTTATCTCTCTCTCTCTCTCTCTCTCTCTCTCTCTCTCTCTCTCTCTCTCTCTCTCTCTCTCTCTCTCTCTCTCTCTCTCTCTCTCTCGCTCTCCCGCTCTCTCTCTCTCTCTCTCGCTCTCCCGCTCTCCTCTCTCTCTCCCCTAATGTGTCACCTCTCCCACTGTAAGTGATCTTTCAGACACAATTAGGCAGTGCTGCACTAAAAGAGAACAGACATGTGCTTGTACTGACTTCATATAGCAGAACCAGACCTTTATTTTCTCCTTCTCTCTCTCTCTCCTGGATCACATAACCACTTAAATGGAGGGAGTCACTTTGGATCAGCACAACCAGGAACATGTCTTTTGAAGCAGTCCGATGAAGTCCAGAGCAGAGCTGAGCTGTCCCTACCGTACAACTGTTCTTTTTTTTCAATCAAATGAACAGAAAGTCCATAGAAAGAGAATGTGAATGAGGAATAGAACACAGCAGACTGGGCCCAAAGGAATCCTGAGGCCTGTCAATGCTAATGTCATGCTAATGTGTTGTAGCACAGAAACGGCAATAAGAAAAGAGCAGCAGAACCTCTGCCTGTTATACCTCTGTTATATGTGTTGGCCAGCGACTAGGAAGACAATTTCCTGAAACCATTTCATTTCTACTAGTAGTATTCCATATAAAATCAGTTTTAATAGAAAAATTGTAATTCAGAACAAAATCCAGACTGAAACACAGTTGTCCTATTAAAAGTCCTAGAAGATATAACAGTTGTTTTTGAAAAGGGTCACATGGGAACATCAAATGTCAAACTGAACGTCCACCTTCTCTCAATGAAATCCAAGGCCGTCTCTCCTCTCTCTCCAAACCATTTGCATTCCCTCAACCCAAAATAACCTCCTTCATTTTCTTCCTCTTTCACATAGCTTTATCACTGCGAGATCTCCAACCCTGCACTGCTTATTTAACTTTAAAAGCAGGACCACATTACTGTTGACAGAATGTAAAAGGTGATTTATTTCCTATTCTGGCTCCTCGCCTCCACCCGTTATTGTAATTCAGCTCTGAAAAAGAGTTGTCATCACGTCGCTCTGAGGTAAAGGGGGAAATTTGGGGGGTGTTCCATTGGGACTGTTTTGTTTGATACATTTCCATGGCTTTCCAATAACCCCCTTGGTATATTGAACATGTGGCGAGAAGAGGGAGGTCAGAGCTTCACAAAGAGCAATATTTAGCATGTAAGACTAATTCATGCAATGGTGTAGGACCGGCTCTATGTGTCTAACCTAATCTGTATACCTACTCAAACATGCTGTTTACTAGCAATCACAACAGCAAATCCTCTCTCCACACCGAAAACAATTGCATAATCCTCAGAAGTTCTAATCCTTCAATTCTCCACCAAGCTTTCAGTAATAGATCAATGACACAATTCCTTCTATTGGGATCCACATTGTAAGGTGATGCTCGTCGCAGTGAATGACCTTGGATGTGGACAATCTAGACATGCAGTTGAACTCACAGTCTGCAGGGCTGAGTCCGCGGGCTGCAGAGATCATGGACAGGGTTGGGCTGCTGTGAATGGAGCGGAAGTAGTGCTCCATGTGGGGGTTGAAGTAGGGGTGAGTGGGGCTGAAGGGCGACTCCCCCGTCCCGGCTGCGTGGGGGGACAGACGGATCAGAGAGATGTCTGACATGATCGGGCTGCCACCTAGTCCAGGACTGGAGAAGGGAGAGAGGGAGGGAGGGAGGGAGAGAGAGAAAGAGAGCGAGAGAGAGAGAGAGAGAGAGAGAGAGAGAGGAACGAGAGAGAGACGGGAGAGAGAGAGAGAGAGAGGAGAGGAGAGAAGAGAGAGGAGAGAGAGAGAGAGAGGAGAGGAGAGAGAGAGAGAGGAGAGAGAGAGAGCGAGAGAGAGAGAGAGAGAGGAGAGAGAGAGAGAGAGAGAGAGAGAGAGAGAGCGTTATCATCTTAGTTCATGCACACTGGTCCATGGCATTGTTAGTCTCTTGTGACAGACGGAAACTTTTGAACAGTTTCTTTCATCCAGACATCTCAAGTACCTGTGATTACAATGGAAGTTTACAATGTAAAGAAAAACAGTTACAATGGGACCCTTTGCTGCATCTCACCTGACTTAGGTCCTTACATGACATAGCCTAAGGCCTAACCATTTTTCCATCTGACACTACAGAGTGGTGCAGACCATGCTGTGCGATGCAGTCAGAGCACTCGTTCACACACACACCTGAGACGTTTCTATAAACTCTGCAGGCAGGCCAGGTGTATCAACCAGCCAGGTCTAAGCCTGAATAATGAATCTAAGGTGAATCTGATATGCTCTGTCTCCTTGCTCTGTGTATATAGACTGGAATGAGAATGAGACAATGTCTAAAATCATGGTCTGCATCCCAGATGGCACCCTATCCCCTGGTGCACTATGGGCCCAGGTCAAAAGTAGTGCACTATATAGTGAATAGGGTGCCATTTGGGATGCAGGTCATTCCTTATCCTATCAGGGCTTTGATCTGGAAATAAGTTGCGACAGAGGTTTCCTGTGAGATGGGGTCATGGAGCAGACTGTGTGTGTGTGTGTGTGTGTGTGTGTGTCCACATCATATAGTATGGCACGCAACCATGCAATATAATGATATTACATCCCTAAGGCATTACCTGATGTCACACTCATTTACCCTAAGTTACCTCATCCACAAACAAATACACTGTAACATAACCTCATACCTCGCAAGTTCCTTTGGGGTCATATCAAGGATTGTTCCTTTAACCCCAGACATGGATGATACTGAAGATAGTCACACTGTATCTGATATGAGTTCTATCCTGACCTGGAGAGGAGAAAGTGAGGAACTCATGGCATGTCAATGAGAGGTGTATCTCCTGCCTGGTTGCTGCTAGCTGTACAGACAGACCCTCTGACAGGCTGAAGATCAGAGGATACAGTAGCATGCACCAGGTAGTCTCTTCCCACAGCCACTGTATGTCTGAACCTCTGGGGGTGGAGCCATGAGTCTGGAAAGCTAGACTACACACCAGACTGATTTTCCTCCAGCACACCAGAAACTAGTACACACTATCTCCATTCAAATATAGATATACCCAGACAGAAGGCTTAATTTCACAAAATCTTATGCTTAGAGCTACCTTAGTCACCCAATGAGAAGCGATTGTACTGTATAGTGTCTGAAGTTGGAATCTTCATCTATTTGCACACCTTCTTTGATGCTTTTTGAATACGGACCCAGGTTGACCTCAATCTCTCAGTTATCCCTAGTACTGTCTGTCTCTAGGGGCTGGTTGGTCTGTGCTTGAGCCAAAGTGAGTCCACTCCGTTTCCAGTAAATGCCCCCAGACGACCAAGGCTTGTCCCAAAGCCAACTTTCTGCCATGAGCCAACTTTCTGCCATGGGTCCTAGCTAACAGATGACCATAAAGGGCTCTCAGTCTGAGGCCTGAGAAGAAACAGGCATTCCATACAAAGAAAGCCTTTAGATTACTGGGCAACTTAAAACTTCAACATGATATTATGGACTGGAACCTGGCTGCAAAATGCTCTTATCTGCCTATAGCTAATTTATTGGCAATGCCAGTCAGTCGCTCTGGGCCTTTAGCCACAGACCTTTTCATCTCCCTGAGTCTACCTCTACCATGGGAAGCAGTCTACTAGGTCCAGAGACCCAAACAGATATGTACAATTGCGACTTGAAAAATAAACCAACGGTCGTATTCTATTGCAGCAATACAGTGTGATTGCATCACTAATGAAGCAAGACCTATTGTTTGATTCGAAGGAGATAACGATCTGATTGATAGTTCAAATGCCTCAACGTTATAAACCCTCGCACCACTATTAACTATTAACACTTCATCTGCATGAACAGACAAGACCTTGTCATAGAAAACCCCGGGGTTGCCAGGGTTACAGAAAGCTATTTGCATAGGACCTGAGATGTTCGTATATCATAAGAATAGCAAGCACCTACATCAGGCATCAGTCCCATCCCAAGATCATAGACCTGAATAGATTTAACTAATGGCCTTTATACTGATTTCTTTAGCCAGCAGTCATCAGTTAACTCAAACAAAACCCTTGTCCAGAAAGAACAGTAGGCCTTTACTTAAAATGATACGATGTAGAGAGAGCAGCACCCTAAATAAGTAACGCAACATTCAAATGTTTAAGGCCCTCTCTTGGAATGGTTTCATCATTACTATGCGGAGGCCAGGGCTTCAGATGCGACCGGAGCTTCAAACATACAATGCCAGGCTGTGGAGCGTATCTGGGCCTGGCGCCGGGTGGGTGTGAGATCAGGGAGGCTGTGGGGTTCTCACCTCAGTCGCCCTGCTGAGGAGGAGGCTCCGTCAGTCCTGCCCTGGCTGTTAGCTCGCACAATGCAGGACCAGACCAACGAGTTGCTAGCCTAGCCTAGCCTACACAGTCCCAACAGAGCGAGCTAAAGCTGGAGCAGTTGTATACTTGTTCTAATTAGTCCACTTAGTGTCCTGTCTGAAACACTTTGGGTAATTGAACCTGATTTCATTTACACCTCTCCTCCGCAGACATTACCTAATTCTACTGTACTGTAAGTATATGTTATCCCCCTGCTGTTCAGTTGACGTTGGTTTTATTTTGGCTGTCTGGATTTAAAGTGTGCTCAATATAAGATATCATTTGTATAATGAAGTGTGGATAATTGTGTGTGTGTGTATGTGTGTGTGTGTGTGTGTGTGTGTGTGTGGTGCATGTATGGCTGGTGTGTGTGTGTGTGTGTGTGTGTGTGTGTGTGTGTGTGTGTGTGTGTGTGTGTGTGTGTGTGTGTGTGTGTGTGTGTGTGTGTGTGTCATGTCCCTGCGTTGGGCCTTTGCGGTGAGCGACACTAGAGATTAATTACAATGTGACGGTGTCTCCTCTGTAGCTACCTCAGGGCTGGAGCTGTGATTTAGATAAATCACATTGTCCATTGCAGGGCTGGAATGAACTGCTGTAGTTTTATATGGGCCTGGACTGCAACATGATATGGATGGTTTGGGCTTTAACTTAACATACAATACTTTCAGCAGCTCCACATATGCAGAAAGAGGGGAAAATTACAACAAACAGTTCATTGAATTAGGAGGTTTAAACAACGGAATGGTAACATATCACTATTTCTGTGGACACAACCATCCTTTGTTGACTCTGGTCAGCTCAGCATTGCTACCTACTAGGAAAGCTGGCCAACCTGTAGCATTATTTGCCGATTATTAAAACATCCACTAATTGTTGTGTTTAAAACTACAGCTGAAAGGTACAACTGTAGAAACAGTACTGCCATGATGACATTATTAATAGTCTCGCTTGCCAGACCCATAGCGATCCACTTTGGGAAGAAACTACATGATTAGCCTCTTAAATATGTACCTTCAGGGCTGACAACACTTTATCAATCAACCAAACAAGGCATCTCTGCAGAGTTGTTCCTGACAGCTCTTAACAAACAGATGGGAGATGGGAATGTGACAGCGATTATAGAGTTTTTAGAACTGAAGTCACAGAGCAACAGAGCCAGAAGCTGCAGTGTTAGGATATTAATGGGAGTGTTGCACTCACTGGCAGCCTCTGTCAGTGACTTGATCTGATCTTATAGCCCTGGGCTGTTTGGTAGACTAGACGCAATCCTCCTCCTCATAGATAATAATGGGCAGACTGAGGCACGGTATTGTTTTCTTCCCCTAGTTTGGGAGACTCAGGATGGGAGTGAAAACATCGAAAGAAACTGAATGTCTTGCCTCTGTTCAGGCCACAACTTGTGCACTTTGTTCTAATGATCATATTGATAGAGGTAATAAATGATTCTCTCTGGGAATAACGCATGTTAAAATGATATCATAATTCTCTCTGAATTGTCATTCATTGGAAAGTACCTAACTATGCTGTAGCTGTGGTTGTATCTTACAACAGGTCTTCGAGTGAAAAACTCAACTCACAAAAAGTTTGTGGAGGTTTCTAGAACAGCGATGATTTGTCATAGTGTCATGAGAGCTCGGACAGCTTGTGTCAACGCGCACACTCCATGTGGGTGGTTTATATCATCGCTTCAGTCCAAGCTTCTGCATAGCTACACGGCACGGCAAAGGAGGTTAGCTATCCCCATCCCCACTGTTCTCTGTCTGTTGCCGAACCACTGCTTTGAGCCCAGGACTGCTCCTGTCCTCTCATTCGACAGTGATGAAAAATCTCTCCTCCATACAGTAGAAAAACCCCAGAAGAAGAGACTCTAAGCTACTCTTCCCCTTCCTACTTCCTCCCACTGCCGCCGCTTCCTCCCCACTTTATGACAGCTGTGACAAAATAACCATCCCTCTCATTATGTTATATGCAAACAATGATAAAGGGGACTGTATGGAGATGTCATGTTAGACAATCAAGCAGGGGACCTCTGACATGCAGCCACCAGCGTATAATAAAGTGGGCCTGACTGCCGCGTCTCCTCGACAAATGACACCACACTTAATTTGCTGTGCAATGTTCCTGTAATTAGAGTGAATTTGGCACAGGCACGGGGAAAGACAGCTAGATCAAGGTCTTGATGAATTAGGGGTCCACTGTCAAGATCAAATCACATTAATCAAGGTGGCCGTGTGTAGAGACAGGTTTTTCTCCCCCTCTACTTCCCTAGTTCTGTGATAAATAGCCCTGCTGAAGCCAGGCAAACAATATGTATCACCATCAAATCTACTGAATTTAAATGGAAATGAAGCTGAACACTATTTCCAGAATTCTATTGACTTTTTTGTGTTTTACTACTATCGTTTTTAAGATAAAGATAGTCTATACTATAGCAAAGTCAAAAACGTTCTGGTTCAATTTCAAATGTTAAATAACTGAGATGTTGCTACCAAACCAATCATGGTCACTACTAACCAAGCTAATTATCCAACGGACTGCACAGTAACCTGAAAGTTGAATTCCTGTACATGTAACCATCATAGAACCAATTACTATACTGTATTGGTGACCTCTGTACTGTGTGAGAGCGTAATTATGTTGTTTTCTTGGGCCCAAACAGATTAGGTCCACTATAACAGTAATGAACATAAAGGACTGTTCTAGGTAGAGGGGGAAAGGTTGTGTTTGTATGTGTGTGTGTGTGTGTGTGTGCGTCATGTCATTTGTGATGGATCCAGCACTGTATAGCTAACTAATGGAAAGAGGATGTGTATTGGCTGGCCACAGGCCTATAGGTTGATACCTGGCAAAAAGTAAAGCTGTCCCCCATAATCATCAACTGTTATAGGAAATGAGAGATGTGAGGAAAAATGTTAACATTCTTTATTAACTGACATTGGATAATAAATTGTACTTTTTAAAGATAATATTTCATCTGTGATATCAAATCTGGCCAACACTTTTACTCTCATCCTTTAAAGGGAAGGTTGCCCTTTAAATGCTATGCAGTGTTGGCTAAAACAAGGCTATCTAATAGCTAATGGCTATCTATTAGTGTAAACAGCTTGTGTATACAGTAGAAACCAGCCTGAAGAAGACTTACCCATGCATGGCATGTAGGGTGTGTGGTTCATAGTGGTATCTTCCCTCATGGTGACGCATGTCAATCGGGATGGGCGTGTGGAACGTCGGAAATATGTGGTGAGGGGCTGCAGAACAGAACAGAGAAGAAGAGGGAGAGACAGAGAGAAAAAGAGTTCAGACTTTTAAAAAAAGAGCTGGGCTTTTCAAAAGCTACATTTCAAAGGCGAAAGGGAGCTACAATAAAGCAACATGAATTTCCGAGCAAGCTGAGCAGTTTCGCCTAAAATATTGGCACTATCACACAAGAGAAGTGGAATAAATAAATAATCAAAGTCATCCTAAGAAATCCTACATCTTGAACATAAAAGATCTCCAACTGGGCTTTTGACAAAGACCTGCAGCGCGTAAGTCTTTGAACTAAGGGGGATGATGGACTGCATCAAGGAGAACTGGAGCCTCGACGCAAACCGGGCCTGACAGCATGGGGAAAAGACTTCTTCTTGTAGCTGCCTGCACCAACACTACCCATCCAAACAGGAACAGCACGGCCCTCCTCAGACGTCGAAGCAGGCGGTAGACAGTAGATACTGTAGACAGCACTGACAGGGTAGTGTAGTGTACCCAGCTACTCAGTCACACTCTAGTGTAATGCACGTTTGTAAACAAACCAAATCAAATTCCCCTGTATTATTTAGGAGTGGGAGAAATAATGATTCAGGCTTAAACAGGATTACAGGCTCAGAGTCAGATGATAGTTTAATTTACTTAAGATGTTAGTAAATTCTTAGTAAATGCTTAGTAATTGGAGCCCTTTTCTCAGCAAGGCTGTTGGGAGAGACCTGATGCACTAACTTTTGTATAAGACACACAGATCATTTTAAGGTACTTTTCAATGTCATGTTACTGTATTAGAGTTAGCATGAAAAGGGAATGCTTGAAAAACAGCTTTACAGTCTCTTAACCAAAACCAGACCCAGGGACATGGACTTTGTATTATTTATGTCCGGAAACACAAGAGAGCACAGCATGGAAAATGGAAAAAAGAATGAAAATAAATTGAGCTTTTATGAGGATCAGGTCATTTTTGTAAAACATTGATGTTAGGCATTTCAAGACAAATTTGAGGGCCCCCAAGCAGACAGTCAAGGAGAAGGCCAGTCTCCAACCGGGAACTCCCCCCTGCTAAGGCACCGGTCGGTCCAGGATCCAAACCAACAGGAGGCATCCCACCGCAGGCCGCACCCCACAGCAGCTGGTCCTAATTTATGTTTTACAAGAAACTCCCTGGCTGAGATTGCTTCTCCATCCAGAACCTGTTGAAGTGAACGCTAAGCTGTGTCAACTGTAACAGCATTGCTGTGTTTCACAGCAGCGATTTCTAATGCAAACATGGATGACTCTGGCCTGAGGGTAATCAAATGGAATTCAATGAGGAGTCCCCCTCTGTCTCTCTCCTGACCACACCTCTTTAATGGAGAGAGTGCTGGGCAGGCAGGTCATTCCTGAGGAGCTGAAAAAGCTATTTGTATAGAGAGGGCAGAGTTTGTATAAGCTAAGGACAGAGGTCAGAGGACAATGTGGGTGGAGAGGAGCCAGGCCAATCATCTTACACTAACATTCACAGAGGAGACCTCTGGTAATCTGAGCTGAAATAGGAGCTGTTCTGTCCACCCACCAACCACCACAGAGTGGTTTCTGTAGTGACCACAATCGTTGGCCTGTTTGAAGGGCTTAGTTGAAGTGGAGCTTCCCATTTTGGGCAGACTTGGAGCTCTTTTTAAACATCCCTGTATGAAAGCCAGCATGAGGGGACCTGCTTTACATCACAACCAGCAGTGAAGTACCTCGGACAAACAAACAGTGAGACGTCAAACCGCTAGGCAGCACTAGTAAGGTCATGGGATATGTGTCATAAAGACTGTTTCCTTGTTTGCAAATACAGAAGTTACAGAGTTGCACATTTCACCTGACAGGTTATGGATACTGGGCAGCGTCCCATCGAGCCAGAAGGGACTGTTTATAAAGTGCTGAAAGGACAGGGCTGTTGGAAGACTGTTTCTATTTTAGCGTTGTTAGAGGGATCAGACTAGGAAGCAGGAGAGGAGCATCAAGAGGCGTGAGGAGGCAGGAAGCGCTGGCTATTTCTGGTTTGCAACCATCCATCACCGACAAGGCTGTATACAATGAGGAGCAGAAGAGGAGAAGAATGGTGCATCATTCACAAACAGTCCCAGCTTCGTTTTTCTGTTCCCCCCTCCTGTTTTTCTGTTCCCCCCTCCTTTTAGTAACATCCCACACCATGGAAAGAGAATACTCAGATTGCCAGACTGAGATCCAACCTTATCAAGACGCCACTTCACACAACACCATTAATCAGCTGATATGGTCACAGCTAATATACACTCTGCCACTCGTTTTCAGGTGTTATTTTTAGAACTCAAAAAAGGTTTTTCCCCCTTTTGTTTGAGATGAACTAGGACCTTGTTTTAATTTACAGATCTAATGGGCCTTTGGAGTCATTCTCAATTCAGCTGGTACCTACACCCTTCACTGAGGTATAATCCCAGCCGCCCCGTGTAAAGTGTTCCAGTGGGGTAATGGGAACACGCTGACAGCTGCTGCAGCGCCATATTTAATTAATTGTATTTTAATTATGTCCCTCATTCACCAGGTACACAATCTTCCTTGGCTTTCCTCGACAGCCTCCTTTTTATCACTGGGCTCCGTCGTAAAGATAATAAACTTCTGGTTTAAGGTAATTACTTAATCAGGACAAACCTGTGTGTTAAGCAGTGCTATTAAGCGGTGTGGTGATAAATCAGACCTGTAGTGGTGGTGTGATGCTACTGGGTGATTACATCCACGGTGTAATCAGTCTTTGGGAGACCCTTGCAGTCGTTAAGTGCCTAAATTACACAAACAGCATGCTAACAACACAGCGCTCGTCGCAGGCCGTAGAGGAGGACAGAGGAGGCCCATCAGGATGTTTGTTAATGCCAGCCAGGTAGCCACCAGCCAATCGTACCGCAGCACCCCGCAGCAACAGCACAATGCAGCATGCTCGCCTTCAGAACAGTGATGCATGGAGGTTATTAGTAGGTGGCTCAGGACCCAGCTGACAAATGCTGATAACTTCCCCCTCCTCTCCCTGTCCCGTAGCTCATGGTTGGGTACCGTAAATATTACAATTAAAATTGACCAATAACAGGAAGGACATGGTGGAGCTTTTGGTTTAATTCATTATAATCACATTATGTATTTTCAAAGCTTTTAAATTGAGAGGCTACTGAGAGCTTTACCGAAAGCCAATCTGAAAATCTAAAGCTGCATGTCCCCGTCATCTCCCAGAGTGCCGTGCAGCATGAGGCCCTGTGTGTAGCAGCAGTTGGCACAGGGTTGTGTAGTTAGGACCCCAGGCAGATTATTTCCTGTCTGAGTGAGGCTAATTTCCCCCGTCATTCTGCTAGTAAGACAGAAAAGCTTTTAATTTCACTGCTGAGGTCTCTCCTCTCAGGATATCCATTAATGCCAGTGAGCCCATTAAGCCATCCAGATCTGGGATCAGTTTGAACATGAAAAAATAGGGATTTATTTTTACCTGTATAATAGCAATAGGACTGTCAACACCTGATGTAAGTATATTCTCACTTAAAGACAGACACAGAAAGGATTCTACTCCATATAATTGTGGGAATGTCCCTGAGTGGATCTCCGCTTGAAATAGCATAAAGAGTTGGAACGTTTAAAAAAAATAGTTTTCCACCATCAAATTTGTTTTGTCCTCCAGTCGAATCCAGTTCAGGCAATGCAATGTACAGTACGGTCCCATTAGAACCCGATGTTTCTGCATGTGTGTGTGTGTGTGTGTGTGGAGGGGTGTGTGTGTGACTATGAGAAAGTGAGAGGGCCTGCTGCGGTGCTCCACCAGATGTAAAAACAAATGTTATCACCCAAAGACTAATAGATGTGAGGGCCTAAGCACCGGGACATTCCAACACTGCTTCCCCCATGGGGGGATTGGGCCCAGTCAGTGAATCAGGTGAACGCATGCAGCCTCCTGAACTCTCCAGAGCGCTCGCCTTTTGTTCTCCCCGCTGCGTGTGAACAATGGAGCTGTCTGGGTGATAGAATAAACCCTGCTCAGGGTTGGTCAATCCCCCCACTGGTCCACTGTGCTGACTGGCTCAGGACGCCCATGCTGCCTCTTCTGCCTGCCTCAGGGCTCTCTCCCCCCAAGTGGGGGAGCCTTTTGTTGACACGTGAGAAATGTAATAGCAGGTATCCGTAAGGAATGGAATTAGTGGCTAATATGTACGCTTGTGGAATTAAAATAGCAGCTTGCAGTCATTTTCATGTGTGATTGATTCTAGCTGGCTTATATAAAGTAATCAGAATCGTATGTTTAAAAACAGGGGCCCAGGCCAGATAAAAACATTACTGATGAGTTTTGTCATAATGATGAGCTACTGCCAATGTGAGTTCTGTTTCCATTGTGAAAGATAAATATCCTCCGTTCTCACAGTAAAGTAACTTTTGCGGAATAGGTCAGTGGGCATTGAGTGTGGTCACACCATGGTGTGGTGTTGGGAGCCGCTTCTCTCCGTCCTGTTTAGGTGACCTAGTTCTGGCTACCCTTTGTCTCCTGTCCCTCCTCGACCCCTCAACCCCTCTCTCCCCTATTACCCCCTTCCATAATTCACCCCCAACCATTATTAATGGTGCATTAACTTGGCCTGCACTTTGAATGAGCCTGTTTGGTTTGCACCCACTCAACCACCCTATGCAGTCACACAAAGAGGGCTATTATTCTGGTGACAAAACATCCCCATGGTGGAGAATGCCTGTCCCACACACAGGGAGAAAGACACACAGAGGCTGGTCAGCTTGGTCAGATAGGATAGATCCACTGCTATGGACTACGGAGAAGACAGACGGTGATCTTGTTGCTTTTTCTGCTGAGGGAATGGAGTTAGCTAGCTACAGCAGCGACGCTCCTCTGTTTTCCATGTTGTGTTTAAAACAGCTGCGGAGCATTAGTGTTGCGTCGCCTGCCTGCCTGCCTGCTGGAGTTTTGAATGTCAGGTGTGCTTTGCTTTATGGTGTTTTAGATCAATTAAACAGAACCCCGGGCATGTTTCCATGACGAAACACTTCAGAGGGGAAATATGACTCAAGCATGAGTCACTCACACAATAGCTTTAAAGGCCCACTCTGTGGTATAATGCCACTAGAAAACCAAGCCCTGCAGTACACTGCTTTACTGAACACTACAGTAACTCTATGCACTGTGGCTGTAGGACTAAATCGTTTTTTCAATTGAAAAGCAATGACTTAATATGATCAATCAGTCAAGTTACCATCCTTATTCTAGACCACAATTACATTTCTTAAGCCATATGTTTTTCACCAGAGCTTGCATTTTTTTTTTGCTTGTCTCTAAAACTAAATAAAGCTCAGACACCGGAGAGAAACTAAAGATTTTTTTTTTGGCCATCTTGAGACAAAGCATATACCCTCAAATAACCGCTCCTCTTAAATCACAATTCTCTGTGGCATTATGCAGACCTGCTGGAGTGGGGCCATTTCCTGTGTCGTGGGGACGGGCCTGTCCATCATGTTGTCAGACTACAAAGTGAGAGGAATGGCCTTGGAATGCTGACTCACACAGGTTCTGTCCCTGCGCTGGGCTCTGTGGGGCCCCGGCCGGGTCCTGGAGGCCCCTAGTGTGCATGGCAGGTACAGATAACGATCTGTGGCCCTGACCCCTCTGACTCTCTGCTCCCTGCGCTCCCAGGTCACCCTATAACGCGAGTCCCGCTGGTACCCCCGGGGCGGGGCGCGTGTTGCCCAAAGAATTTTAATACAATCCAGAGATCAGCTGGCTGTCCCTCCTCGATCTCCGCTTGGTGCTGTCCTCTGCTCTCCTCTCCTCTCAGCAGAAGAATATCACACAAGTTTACAATTAGAAGGTATGAACGTAACTGAACATAGGATGGAAACGTTCCAAGTTCATAACAACTACTTTGATAAGGAACAGGAGAGTAAAGACATTTCCAAACCAAAAGGGCAGAGTGAAGAGAACAAACACATAATGTTAATGAGAAACAAAACTCTGTTAAAAACGTAAAGACCCAAAACGTTCTATTTATATGGCACTAAACAGAGGTTCGCCTGCACCACATGTCAGCTGTTGTTATCACAGCAGTTAATGAGGAACGTCTGTTGTTTTTATTAAAGACGACCAATGCCCAAAAATATTTTCCTAAAGGATGTTTTCCCTAACATATGGAAATCGCCACAAAAGAGTTTGCATGAACAGAAAAAAACACTTACTACAGCCTGGCTTTCTATGGTGAGATGACAGCAGGAGACTGTAAAGCCTGTAGACTGTGAATCCCAGACCAGTGTTTCTGACTAGGACCAAATATCACTCCCCTGACTCTTCTCCTTCACTGCCTTTCTTTTTCCCCCTTTCTTTCGACATGCGACGGGAGCCCGCTCCATTTCTGCTCTGCCTATGTCGCGCTCACTGCTGTCGCTCTCACTTCAGCACTAAGCAGCAGGCCAGGCTACACATTGCAACAGCCAACAGGGCTCAGCCAGGAGGATATCTCCACTCTAGTCTCAGACCCCTGGCCAAGAACTTCAGTCACATCCCTTGACATGTTCTGTAGTCTGGCTTCAGAAGCAGCTGCTTGTCTCTGCGTGTCAGTGGGACAGGGGAGTAAGCTACATCCCGCCTAGCTTTCCCTTG